AAGGAACGGTTGTATCTCCACCACGTTCTTGATCTCTCGATTGAGACCATACAGAACACGAGCTATGGTAGCCTCGTGGTCCTCTCTCACATCAGCATGTATCATCAACACTTCCAACTCCTTGTGATAATCTTCAACACTTTTAGTTCCTTGCCGGAGAAGCTGGAGGTTTTGATACATATCTCGCAAATGGGAACTCGGTACAAACAGATCCCTCATAATTCCTTACATCCCATCCCACGTCTCAATAGGAAGCTGCATGTTTCTCCTTCGTTTCGTTCCCAACTGATCCCACCAAACAAGTGCATAATCCGAGAACTCTAGGGCAGCCAATGTCACTTTCTTCTTCTCAGAGTAGTTATGACAATCAAACACTAGTTCCATCTTTCGCTCCCAATCCAAATAAGCATCAGGGTTCGTGGTACCGCGAAAAGGTGGAATCGTGACCTTGAGGTTTCGCAAATCATCATCCTCCTCAAAGCCCTCTTCTTCCTCGTCATTAAACTCCTCTTCATGATACTGCTGCCGCCCTCTCCTTTCAGCTTGAGTCATTCCAAGGCGTCTATGCTGGCGTATATGACGCTGTACTTCGTGAAACAAGGGTGGAGGAGCTCGGTTTTCCCTTCCCCATTCTTCTTGTCGAGGTCTAGGGTTAGGGTTTGCATCGACCACAACCGGCTGCTGGAGCCTTGTCTCGACAGCCTCCATCCTCGTGGCTTGCTCGGCAAGCCTTGCTATTTTCTCTTCTTGAGCACGAGCAATGTTCTCCAATTGATTTCTGATCGCTTCGAGTGCTGCTTCCATGTTTGCTATGCAAGAAAACTCCAAGAACACAAGAACTTAACAAGAACTCGCACAAGAACAAACAACCTCCTGTCTTGAGGCTCAAGAACACGCCAAGACCTTCAAGAACTCGCACAAAACCACCAAGAACACAAACAAGAACGCACAAGATCTTCAAAAAAACTTCAAGAACACGCCACTTATTTGAACCTTAGCTCTGATACCACTTGATATGACCAAAGTATGCAGCTTCAACGCCTTTTTATGGTTTTCTGGTGTAGCCTTTCTTGAACTCAAAAATAAAAAGATAGGATGGAATCAATCGGAAAATTCCTAACTCGTGATGAAGGGCAATTAGTATATTAAACCAATCGGAAAGCACCAACTTGTGAAAATGGGCAATTGATATAGGGTAGAAGCTCGCAACAACTAGACACGTTCTCTAATTGATAAGAGACACGTGAATCCTCTGGAGACTCTCGACAGAAGCTTGCACAAAACGTTCCTATGGAACTCGAGTAAAACTCTTGAATTGATTTCTCGATATTTGGTTCAAAATTCGTAGCTCTTACACCCTCTATTTATAGAGGTCACAAAAACATAAAACTAACCTAAAAGGATTAGGAAAACAAATTACAAACTAAGTAGGATAGAAATAAACTAATAAAACAAATAAAATTATACTCCGCACAGTCCGCTGGTCTCCTTTTCCGAAGCGAAATTGAAATTCCGTCCCACCAATTCACGTAGCCCAGCTTTGCTGCTGCGGAAACTTCTGTGAGCTTGTCCACAAACCAATTACAGAACATTCACATGGGTTTTAATCCATCTAAAGAAAACCTAGCTTTCCACGTCAACACCATTCACCTCACCAAAACTCAATCTCATAGCTCATTCACGTTGCCTTTCTCTATTGCCCACCCATGGCCACAATTAAATTGGTCATTTTAATGACCACGCACACCAGGAAATAATCGGCCACTTGTATGCCGAAATCATCGAACAACATCTTGAATGCTCCTAATTGATCCATATATCGTTGAATTTGAATATTTATTTTTGGACCGCATGAATTAATTATCATGCTAGTCGATATCGCATCATTGTTGCCATATTGAACGGGTATAAATGGGTAGTTTGGGTACCCATTATTCGTCCCGTACAGGTTAACAGGTACCTTTTACCCGTATGAATTTGGGATATGGGATGAATTTTGGTCTACAAATGGGATTGGGTATCTGTTTCAAATGGGACGGGTACCCAATCCCGTCCCGTTTTCCACCCCTATCAGGACTTCACTAGGTGGTCCACTCCTCTCTCACCTATTTTTTGATGATGATCTTATTCTCTTTAGAGAGGCAAGTGAGAGGCAAGAAAGGGTTGTGGCATACTGTCTGGATCGCTTCTCTTTATGGTCAGCAAGTTAGTAAGGAAAAGTCAGTTATATAATTCTCCAAAAACACCCCTCGAAAACAATGTATGACCATCGCTAGAGAGTTGGGCATGTCGATGACACATGATCTGGGTAGATACCTGGGTGTCCCTGTTCTTCATGGTATAGTTACCAAGGACACCTACAGGTAAGAAATTGGTTAGTTGGAAATCTAGTGCGCTTAGTATTGCAGGTCGGGTCACCCTTGCAGCCTCAGTCTTGAATGCGCTACTGACCTATGCAATGGTGACCACTCTCCTTCCCCGGTCTATGTGCAACTTGATTGAATGTAAGGTGAGGAGGTTCATTTGGGGTGCCTCAGATGGGGTAAGGAAGATACACCTTGTCCATTGGGAAGCTGTGTGCCTACTGAAGGCAGAGGGTGGATTGAGTCTCCTGAGTTTCCCAAGAGCTAAACCAGGCATTCCTCGCTAAATTGGCATGGTCCTTTGTTAAGAAACCAGATGAACTATGGGATCGTGTCTTGCAGGAAAAGTATTTCAGGAAGCGGGAGGGAGTTCTTGAAGCTAAGAAGTCGACGAGGTTGTCAAATGTTTGGCGTGGCATTTTCGAAGTCTTGGCCCATAATGATAGAGGGGATGTAGATAAGTATCAAAGATGGGCAAACCACATCATTTTGGATGAATCATTCGACGGATAATGGTGAGATTCTTTTGGATCACGCAAGGGAGGACAACCCGCATCTTGATCCTTCGCTTCCTGTCGCCGACCTCACTACGTCGAACGGTGAGTGGGATCTCCCTAAACGTTGACTGATTCTACCCGAGGAAGCAGTATTGCACCTGCACGGCATCCAGCTGCCTTAGGCGATGTCCGTCGAAGATGGTGATGACTTGGGGGCAGAGCCTGTGGGGAAGTTCCGAGTCCGATCGACTTATAATATAGCAAAGGACGAGGTACACAGTAACCCATAGGTAGATTGGTGCTCGATTTGGAGATGGAAGGGCACAGCAGGCGTTAATCACTCCCTTTGGATAGTGATCAGGGAGCGCCTCCTCACCAACCAGGAGTAACTGCGGATGCACCTCACATCTTCCCCTACATGCGCGTACTGCAAGGACCAGGCGGAAATAGTCTTGCATGTGTTGCGGGACTGTCCTTTTTCCAGGTTAACTTGGATGCGGCTCACTTAGTTTTCTGACCTGCAAAGCTTTTTTGACAGTCCTATTCAGGAGTGAATCACACGGAATATTCGCAGAGAGCACACTACCCTTGAGTTTGGCATTGTTTGTTGGTCCCAGTGGCGGCCCAGGAATGACAGAGTCTTTGCAGGCAAAGTCATAACCACTGAAGCCTTTCTGCAGTGCATCATGGGTTGGATAAATGTCGCGCGGACAACCATGTATAAAGACAGGCTTGTTCATTTGTCTAGTCTGCCCGCAAGAACGGAGGTGGAGCTCTCGTGTAAGCCGCCACCTCATGAGTGGGTAACACTCAATTTAGACGGCTATATCCTTACTGAATCAGGTCATGCAACAGCGGGTGGCCTGATTAGAGATCATAATGGATGTTGCTTGGCAGCATTTGCTTTAAACTTCAGGATTCGTTCAATCACCCAAGCAGAATTGAGAGGCGCTGTTGAGGGGCTCCAGTTGACCTAGTATCAAGGTTTTCAAAGGGTTCATATTGAGATGGACTCCAGGTGTGCGGTTCAGCTCTTCTAGAATAGGGAGAAGCCAGAGGACATTCTCCCACGTTTACCATGAGGGGAATAAGTTTGCAGATTACATAGCTAACAGAGGACATTCTCTAAGATTGGGGTTTCACCATTTTCCTATTGCGGATCCGTTCCTGTGCAACTTGCTTTTTTGTGATTGTCAAGGACTTTCTGAGTCCCATTTTGTTGTGAATGAAAGCTTAGATGCTCTGCATCAATTTACACAAAAAAAAAATAATAAAGCTTACCTGACCCATGCTCAATTCTTTTTTTCTGTCAAAATTTATTGCGGTTATAAAAGTATTAAGATCGAAGCAGTTCAAAATTTATATGGATTGGGGGGGGGGGATTTGGAAACTGGAAAGTGATGCCAAAGAGGCTTATCTAGCAATATTTGTTTGGCAAGTCATTTTACATTAAATTACGTGATTATGGATCCTAATCTATAGTGGCGGCTATTTAGTCTGCTTTTTGGTTTTATCCAAAACCGGACCGTATAATCCGGACCATGACCAGACCGGGACCCGATAGCAAACAATCCAATTTCGTCTTCGGGTTTAGATTTGAGGTAAGAAACCGTATCGGAACGAAAACAGGATAAAGACTGAATTAGAGAGCCCAACACCCAAACCCTAACCAACTCTTCACTTTTTTAGGCCTCAGCCCACTCAAACCCCCACAAGATCAATCTAAAATCTAGACCGGATTGGGACCGGACCGGGTCAAGATCGGACTGGGTCTAAGCCGGACAGTATCTAATCCAATCTTTGGTCCTCATATTCTTGAAAAGACCGGAATGAGACCAGATCAATCGGGGTCAATATAACTGGACCGGACCGTATAGCCACCCCTACTAATCTAGTCAGCAATAATAATCATGCTCTTTAAAATACATCCACTTTTATACATTTTTAATAAAAAATTTATATGCAAATTGTAACACCCCGAATTTTGGGTTCAGGTTCGACCCAAATACGTGAACGGTTGGGTTAACAGTTACGTACGAAGGGTTTCAACCGTGAATTAGTAATAATAACTTGTTATATTATTATTACTAATTAATATATATATATATATATAACCAAAAATCTCAACCCGAAGGAAGAGATGAGTTGTTGCCACCAAATCCCTAATTCCGCCGCCAGGAACCGCTTCCACTCGGCAAACCATAGGGAACATAATTGTTCCATCGTCGGCACCGGAATCCTGGGCCTCCCTTTCGCTCTCCGGGTCGCCAGCTGGCTTGCTGGATCGTTCGCGATCATCGTTGCTGGGATTCCTACTTATTACTGCATGATTCTCCTCGTGCAATGCAGAGATAAAATGGCAACTGAGGAACCCACCACGAAAACAAGGACATGTGGCGATCTGGTGAAAGAGGATGTCCAAAAGGTTGTTGGTGGGGATTTTAAGTTCAGTGATAGGCAAGCAATCTCACCGGTCCTAGTGGCTTGTCGTTTGCTTTAGAAATGGCGGTACCGAGGGTTGTAAGAAGAATTTGATTAGGAAGATGCCTTCCGCTTACCGCAATGCTGGTTCCGAGGACGGGTCCGATCACGAAATGGAATCCTTCGCCGTTCAGTCAATTGCATCGAAGAGTGGAAGTGGAAATTTACAATGCTGTTGCGCGACAAAGTGAAGCAAGAAGTGGTATCAAGGGAGAAAAAGGACAGACGTGATTTTGAGAAACTAGCAGTTTTGGCAAGCAAAATGGGGTTAACGAGAGCCAAGCAAATTGAAAAGGTGAGTGTAAAGTGGGTAAATTCTACACCTTACGGTATTTAAGTTTTTGAGATTTGACTGCTATGTGTCGTACTTGCCTTTGTATGCTTATATGATGTCATATGATTTGTGTGAGTTATGCTTTCAGTTTTATGTTGTTGTGTGCTTTACTTACAAGTAAGTTTAAGTTAAAGAAACAAGTACTTTTTAAGAAGTAACTCACCTTCAAGAAGGTGAAGTCGTTTTAAGTGTTTTTAGTCACTAGCGCCAGTCCGTTGCCATTTGAGATTTTCAGAGAGAGCAGCAGTTATGCTCTTAAGATCTTGAGACAGAGCAGTAGTTATGCTCTTGAGACTTTTAAGATGAGCAGCAGTTATGCTCTTGAGAATGTGGTGAAGAGCCACCACGATAAGTTTAAGATGTTAGGGGGGATGAATCGTTACGACTTCCCTAACTAAGTTTAAGTTTAAGGAAAGCCTTGATGGCTTCTCATACGTATGAGTTGGCAACCGGACTAGCTAGTGAGGGATCCCAGTGTTGGTCAATTATTTAAGTAAAGCTTTGGGATTTAAGAATGGAGTAGCAGTAACTCCCATACAGTTTTAAGAGTTAAGCTTTTTATTAGTGGAAGTACAAAACAACTTCCACTCAGTTAAGTAAAGTGATCAAGCATTAATAAGATGTTAAACGTAAGGGCGTAGACTGACCCCATCTCACTCACCAGTTTGAAGAGCTAGAGGAGCAGTTAGTGAGCAGCGAGTTTGAGGGCAGCCAGCTAGAGGAGAGCAGTATAAGCGTCACGTAGGGTGCCTATTTAAGATTTTCAGTAGCAGCAACGACAGAGACTACCTAGTTGTTTGCATTTTATGATTATGAGTATAGACTGGAGATCAGTTTGAGATTTTAAAGTTTGAGCTTAATTTGCCCACGTGTTAGGGCTTTGCTTTGAACTACAAGTGTGTGTTTTCAGTATTTTATTTATTAAAATTTTTCCCAGTTGAAATTTAAGATTTGAGTACTTTATTTATCAAGGGCATTTTAGTAAAACTAGTACCCGACCGGGTTAGGGTGTTTCACAAATTTTACTACGAAATATCGTGTTAGTAAAGTTTGATAATATATAAGATTATATCATGGTGATAAGAAAGTGTACTTCGCAATAGGAACATATCATAATATAGAAATATATACCATCTATCATCATGGTGACATTCTCCCACGTTTACCATGTGGGCGATAAGTGTGCTAATTACATAGCTAACAGAGGACATTCTCTAAGATTGGAGTTTCACCATTTTCCTATTGCGGATCCGTTCCTGTGCAACTTGCTTTTGTGTGATTGTCAAAGACTTTCTGAGTCCCATTTTGTTGTGAATGAAAGTTGAGATGCTCTGCATCCATTTAAAAAAAAAAAGCTTACCTGACCCATGCTCAATTCTTTTTTCTGTCAAAATTTATTGTGGTTATAAAAGTATTAAGATCTAAGCAGTTCAAAATTTATATGGGTTTTGGGGGGAGGGGGATTTGGAAACTGGAAAGTGATGTCGAAAAGGCTTATCTAGCAATATTTGTTTGGCAAGTCATTTTGTACATCAAATTACTTGATTGTGGATCCTAATCTATAGGTGTGGCTATTTGGTCAACTTTTTGGTTTTATTCAAAACCGGACCGTATAACCCGGACCATGACCAGAACGGGACCCAATAGCAAACAATCCAATTTCGTCTTCGGGTTTAGATTTAAGGTAAGAAACCATATCGAAACGAAAACAGGATAAAGACTGAATTAGAGAGCCCAACACCCAAACCCTAACCAAGCTCAATCTAAAATCTAGATCAATCGGGGCCAATTTAACCACACCGGACTGTATAGTCACCCCTACTAATCTAGTCAGCAATAATAATCATGCTCTTTAAAATACATCCAATTTTATACGTTTTTAATAAAAATTTGGTATGCAAATTTTACCACGATATATCGTGTTAGTAAAGTTTGATAATATATAAGATAATATCATGGTGATATGAAAGTGTACTTTGTAATAGGAACATATCATAATATAGAAATATATATCATCTACCATCTTATCCCATGATAGTAAAGGATGCACTATATTTGGTCCAAAAAATATTTAGATCACGATAAGGTGGTACAAATTTCTCTCGAAATATCTATAAAAAATTGTGTAATTTGCATATATAGCAATGAACCTGTTTCATTGTACAATCTTTTAAACCAGTGAAAAATATACAAGTCAATTATAATGTACAGACAAAATTAATCTTACCTTTTATATCTTACCTCACTTAGAATAAATCAGAAAACAATTTGTCACTGGTTTAAATAATCAAATCGAACCATTCGACCGCACCCGCATGGAGCTAATGTTTTCCTGACTTTTTTAATGGTTAACAACATTTTGTACCCCTCTACTATAGTAAACTAAAAAATGTACCCCGTCTACTAAATTTTTGCACAAACATACGCTTAATATTAAAAAATAACGAGTTTGTCCTTCCATCTAATTATTTGTTAAGTGACCGTTAAAAACTGTAAAATGACCCAATTACCCCTCATTTACTCCTAAATACTCATAATTTCAATTTTAATTATTTTATTATGTCTCAAATCAATTATTAATAAAATAAAACGCCTAAAATAATTCGGAAGCAGTCGACCAGAGACCGTCCGTCTCAGCGATCAGTCCCTCGACTTGGTCTCCTCGCTGACGACACCTGCAGATAGACCCGATCGATATTCGAACTCAATGTCCTTTCCATTAATTTTTGTCTCTAAAGTCTAAACCCAAACGGGAACAATAAAGAGAGGAGAGTTTCAGAGAGAGACCAATTAGTACCTCGTGCTTGTTCTTTGTCATGTTCCCTTCACTTCTCCTTCTCCCTGCAAACCCACCGCCAAATCAAATCAAGTCAAGTCAATCAAAATAATAAATTCAATATCCCTTTCCTCGCAACAGCTTAAACATCTTGCCGCCGAAGCCACCTGCAGTAGTACTGATGACTCGATATTTACAAATGTTTTTGTCCACTATTCTTATACTGCTTGAGGCTTGGATCTAGGGTTTTAAACCGATTTTACGCTAGGTTGTTTTTGTTTATGACATTTCAGAACCTAATGCGTGAATGAAGGTTTGAGCACGAGTTCGGGGTCGATTGAGCGAAATCAGGACGAGTGAGGGAGAGCAGATGAGTTGCACGACCAATACGGGAAATCTCACGTGCAAAGTTACATTTTTGGCCGTGCGGGATTTACCGAGACTGCACACAACTTGAACCTGTTTTTCGCACGCCCATGCACAATGAATTTTTTTGGCCGTGATGAATTCTGCGACAGAACTGCACGGCCAGGCTCTCGGATTGCACGGGCCATGCAATGGCTGTGCACTCCTCTGGCGGAACTAATTCAAATGGCGCGTTTTGGGGTGCACGGGCAGCCAAGGAGGTCGCAGGACCGTGCGATCTGGCTATGCAATCGCGGGCAGCTGCATTTTAACCCAATTCCGGGTTTTGGAGAGAGACGACTTTTTGGAGCAAAAATAGAGTTCTAGAGAGACAAAGTGTTAAGAACAAACCCTATGAGCTATTTGGAGTGGATTTCTCACCATTGAAGCCCAGATTGCATCCCAAGGAGTGAGTATTGACATCCCAGAGCAGATTATTCCCATCTTTATGAGTATGACTGCTTTGATTTTCTTTTTCCTCTCTCTTTCTATGGAGTTGACCTTTCTCTCACTTGGGTATGAAGAACCCTAGTTCCATGTGTTAGGGATTTGAGTTGTAATGACTTTTGGATTGATATACTGTTTGATTATAATCGATTGAAGTGTGTTTATGGAGTCAATTGAATCCTGACGAACTTCTTTTGATTTCTGCTGCAACTTGTGATAGATAGAATCTGATCAGGTTGTTATAGCTTCTTCAATTGATATGAGTGAATCGATTGTACGAGAGTTAGTCAATTCACTGCTTGGTACTGGAATCCAATTCCAGTAGTGGAGTTCTGTGTTAACTGCCTTACTTTCTATCCCGGTGAAAACTAGTCGTCTGCCGGTTAGTCTGTCTAAAAGGGCTTGGTCCGCTTAAGAGATTCCAAGCTACTGTCAAATCTTCCGCAGTTTAATCAATAGTAAATCAACCTAAAGAAATTACAACTTGGACCTAACTAAAGAGCTAGGGGGATTCATTCCCGAGTGACTCTTCTCTTGCTTTAGGAAACCGGATAATTTACTGCTTTCTTTCTGCTTTACTTTGAACTCACCTACATTCACTTAGTCCCGCTAGATAAGAGATAATCGCGGAGTAGGCAGTACATCTAGGCCTTGGTTGACATTTATTACTTGATTCCACTATACTGCATTTACATTCTGCGATTACACTTGGTCACAGTTTGGTGATGTGTCATAGCGTGTCAAGTACTCTGCCACCGAAGGTCTTCGACCCATTTCTACCACGCCGCTTCTGGTTGCCGTCTATCTTAGTGTATGTTTTAGGCAGGAACGGACTGATTGCCGACAAGGAGATACCGGGAGCATATGATGTCGCCGAGTCGACTGACTGATCGGCAGGGGAGACGGACGGTCTCTGGTGCTTCTAAATTAGTTTAGGGATTTTATTTTTTAATTAAAAGATTTGGGGCATATTAAATAATTAAACTTAAACTAATGAGTATCTACAAAATATATAAAGGCAAAACATGGGTTGGAATTCTCTCATTTCAAATTTCGT